AAACCTTAAATCATTTTGTTAATGTTAAGTTATACATGCAAACATAAATAATGTACTATATTTCAGATGGGTAGTTTGATATTTTAAGGTAGTAAGGGGGAAAAGAAATGTTAATTTGGTCCCATTATAAATTTTAAATTTTATTTTTTTGATACTTTGAAAGATGTATTCTTTCTATTGATCAAGTAGGAAGCAGATCAAAGATTATGGGTAATATGCTGGTTTTTTTTTCTTTCTTAAATTTCAGTTTACCATGCAATCTACTTGGAAGAAATGGTTGCCTCAGAAGTTGCGCGAAAACTTGCGTTGGTGTTTAATATTCCTCTCCACCAAATTAACCAGGTTTACAGACAGGGTCCCACTGGCATCCACATTCTTGTTAGTGATCAGGTAAATTGGATAATCATCCTCATTCATTTTTCCCTTTTATACTGATATTTACTTTTGTACGTATCCTTGAACTATAGAAAATAATTCTGTGGTGATCTCTTTCCAGATACTCATGAGAATCATTTCCAAAGAGTTAGTGATCAAATTTTGTAAGAATTTATAATCAAGAATTTTAGTGATAATAAGAATAAGGAACACAAGTCAAAGAAAACTGGCTTATCCTCCCCACAACCCTTTGCATTCAGATACTCATTTCAGGACTTTGAAGGTTAGAAGCAGGCTCTGTCCCTTTTTATGAGGTGGACATTGGTTATTTTCTCATTTTGGCTATTATGGCCACCTTAAAAAAGCCATGAAAGTTTACAAGTACAAACCACCTCCCAACTTCATGTTCAGAGCAAGTAATCATAGAATAATAACATGTACTTTGTTTTAGTCAGTATTAACAGAACTGTAAGGAAGTGCTCCCCATAGATCACAGAATGACTGACCAGATCCTCAGGGACAATGATAGCAGGAATGGTCAGAATAAGGTCTTGTGAGTACAGCAGACACACATTTTCACTACCTCACACTGGCTTCAGGAAGTATTTTGGTAATTTGAATTATGTACTTGTGCAAGAATAATATATAGACTATAATATTTTCCTTTAACTGATTTTAAATCATTTCTATTCATTTAAAAAGGGACAGTAATATCTTAATTGTACTTATACGTGTGCTTTACTCTTCTAGATGGTTCAAAACTTTCAAGATGAGAGTTGTTTTTTATTCTCTACAGTAAAAGGTACTTTGTACATGTGTGTCTGTACTCAAAATTATGAACAATATTGTGTGTGCCTCTGATTAGTTACCCTTTTGTGTGCTTACTCTTGAAAATGCTTTCTCCACTAATTTTTAAGAATTAGAGAAATGAATCAACAGAATGTTTTAAAGGACTATAATGGAAGTTAACTAGCAAATGAGGAAAAGGTGTCAGTCTTTGTAGGTAACTAGGAAAAACTTAGTTCATTGAGTTAACATTTTACTGAGCACTGTTTCAGAAATTTAATGCTTAGTGAATGTTGAACAAAACAAAGAGTCCGTGTAACTGCCACTCTAGTGGGGAAAACAAACCCAAATTGGCCAAACTTACCAACATTTTAAGTGCCAAGAAGGAATTGGAAAGTCAGTGGGGTGTTTATGGATAAGGGGAATCTGGAATGGAGGACATGGAACAGTTAAGGAAGGCTTCTGTGAAGAAGTGTCTTGAAGGATGAGGAGCTGGCCATAGGAACAGTGTCCTAGGGCAAATGATTCTTTCAAGGCCTGGAAGAGGGTTGTGTAGCTGCCATGTAGTGTGTGAGGGTGAGTAGAGCAAGGTGGGGGATAGGGTTTTGCATTCAGGATTGAGGTGATGGTAGTTTGGATTTTAGTTGAAATGCATTGGAAAATCAGTGAAGTTTAAACAAAGTAGTAATGTGATTAGATTTTCCTTCTACTTTCAAAATGGGGGGCATGAGAAGACCACAAAACTGGAGGCAGGAGATGGCCATCCAGGCAAGAGGTAATGATTTATAGACTGAGCTCCACATTTGGGGGAGTAGTAGTTGTAATTGCCAGTTTCTTGTTGAGAGTTAACATTTGGGGTATGTCAGGTAGTCACTTAATGGTGCCATTCTGGGTCTGAATAAAGAGGTCTGGGTTTAAAATATAAATTTAGAAACCTTCGGCTTTTCAGAAGTTATAAAGTTGAAGTCATTGGAGGAGACAGTATGGAAAGAGGGCTCAGGTGAACTCCAACGTTAAAAGATTAGGTAGAGAGTTTTTAAAGGCCAAAGAATTTGAAGAGATCTATGTTCATAGATTGTTTTAAAGGGCAAGTGGGTTAAGATCCCAAACCAGGCTCAGCACAACTTTCCCTAGAAGAGGAAAATGTCATGCATTCCTTACTCTTTCCTGGTGGTCACTCTTAAGAGTTTTACTTTGTGCATGATGTGTCACATATGACATCAAGTTACCTGCACTTTTGAAGTGATGTTTTATGTGGACTGAACTACATTCAGTGACCTGCAGGGCTGAATTGTAACCAGGACTGGTTCACCTGTACTTTTCTGCTCAACTTTTACTCTCTAAAACTCATTGCGTTAAAAAAAAAAAGGAAACTCATACTGTAATTGTGTAGTTGTGAATTCAGTAGACATTTCAAACTTAGGATTTCCCCTAAAATCTGTTTTTCAGACTTGTATACATTAAAAAAAACCATTTATCTAAAATACCTTTAATGCTTCTCATCATTTATGGAGGCCATCAGGCAAAAGTTGGATATATTTTTTAAATGTTTCAAATCTTCCTCCAAGGAGTTAAAAATTTTTTTCTAGGAATGATAGAAACATTGTGTATTTTCTGTAGGGTTGACTTGGCCCTTGCAGTGTTTTCACCTGTTCAGCTTCCAACTGTGCTCTCTCTGGCTTACAGATAAGTTCCACATCACACTGCAGAACTGGCAAGCAGTATGGGAGCAGTGTACTAAGAAGGGCACAGCCAGTCTTTAGAAAGCAGAATGGCTAAAAGGGGAATGTGGACATGATGCCGCCTGAGAGAAAAAGCTAGAACAAATGAATGTTTTTCTCTAGAATTAGTTGAAAGTAACCTGAGGTGGGGGTTGTAGAGTTTTTTTAGTGTTCTTGCTTTCCTAAGCCAAGTTAAAAAATTTTTAACTTTTATCCTTTTTCTGCAGCTGAAAATAATGATGGTATCCACATAATTTTGAAGTGATGTCTTATGTAGACTGAACTATATCCAGTACCAAATAAAGTCACGCTAAAAGTGTGTGAAGACTGAATCCAAGAAGTCTTGGGATTGGATTTTACTATATGAAATGTTTCATATTGAAAACACAGATGACCTTTCTAATGAGTTGTATGAGAGGCAAATCTCACTGTCACTGCCATAGCCAAGCATCCTCGTGAGAGTGAGCACGTCGGGACAGCGTGCATCCAGCTCTGGAGGCCGTGGGGCAGGCGTGGCTACCTGCTTCTCTGGCAGAGGCCAGTAGATACAGTTCCCAGAAGCAGCCCTTGGGCTTTTTACACTGTATGCGGTTTGGAAATGAATGTAAAACTTAACCATGGGCATTTACCTATCTGTGCCAGTTTGGTTTTTGTTGCCTGAACCTTATGCTGACCTGGGGAGAAGATGGGGGACAGTGCTATTGTGGAGCCAGAAAGGATTCCTTCAGCAGAGAGATGGACTGTGCTGATGTGGTGATGGTCAGGTAAGAGGCTCGGCACCTTCTCAGAAGAAATCATGTCTAAGGGTATAGCTGTGAAATGATCATGCCAGACTGGAGAGGATCCAAGCCAGGAAGATGGGCTTGAAGCAAACTGCATTATCAGGAGTACCTTGGTGAGAGGATCAGTGTAAATCCTAATAGGTACAAAGACTTGTGTTTTTGCTTTGTCACAGATTTATTGAATAACTTTTTTGCTTCTGCTTCCAATTTTAGCATTTTAGTTTCTGGTTTTCATTTTTTTGAAGCCTCCTTGCCTTTTAAACTCGTGGTTTTCTTTCTTGTTTCCTTCTTATTTCTCCACCCCCTTACTCCTGAGCATTTTTAAAGACCTACCCTAGACATTGGAAATAGGTGACATAGGTAGGAGGCACAAAGTTTTATTGTTGGTAGCTTCTGAGTTGGTGTTATGGGATCTTTGTTATGAACAAGATGAGATTTTTCATGGAAACACTAGATATCATAAATCTAACACTAAAATGTACCAAAAAAAAAAAAAAATCCCTTGGTCTCTTGTCAGATATTGAGCTTCGGTACAATCATGAATAAACATTCTGATTGAGATGTTTTTAATAACCACACAATGGCTTTTTCTTAGAGTATGCATCTTTCATAAAAAGTGTGCTAGCATACTTCCCCCCCCCCACCCACCCACCAAAGGGAATCCACTGGTTTCTTCTTTTACTCCTCCCTTCACTTAGAGCCTTCCCAGAATTCATTGAGCATTTTTTGAGGCCTATGGTGTATCAGACTGAATTTTTAAACTTTTTAATTACAGCATCTCTGTTTACTAAGCTCTTTTGGCTTTGAATGTACCATTTGAGCCTCGTCTTTGTTCAGGTGGAAATAGGAATGATTAATTGTAAGTTTGAAATCTCTCCCAGAAGACAAATGACTTCACTAGGTGAAAGCTTTGACATTTTGGTTTATTCATAAAGGGGTTAATTATTTGCTACAAAGAAGCACTGTCTGAATATTTTCATCTTAGTTCAGAAATATCTGTTACTCCTATAGACCATGTAGGAAGAGAGTTTTCTTTTCTGTCCTTCTCCCCTTTGCTTTTTTGTGACCACATGTTTTCTGTACCAGTCACTTCGTTCTTGAAAGAAGTAAGCTTCTCAGTTGTTTTAGAGTTTTGCTTGTCTATTTAGCATTCCTTTGGGTCTCATGATTTATGGAACAATAAATGTCATTTAATGCTGTGTGCTATTTTGAATTCATCAGGTTTTAGAAAAGTGGGATAAAATACAGGCTCATCAAACTTGAAATTAATACTGAGTGGCATTGACCGTTAGTCTGTCCCAGTAAAACAGGTTAAATAAATTATGGCACCAGCAAATTTGCTACTTTGTTTTTTTAATAGTAGGATGTACACATTTCAGTACAATAAATGTTTTCCGATTGTTTTGCAAACGTGTCTCATTTAAAATGTCAGTTCTTGCTAGTTTCACTTCAAGTTGACTTTCACCTTGCTAGTTTCATCTCAAGTAGAGTCATAGAACCAAGGGAGCCACTGTCCTGAACATACCTCAGAACAAATATTGTAAGAGGCTAAGCTCTTGTAGGTTTTTTCCCCTCAAAACTAAGGACAGGTTATTCTACAAACTGTTCTTTACAGAGGAAGCAAACCTGGTTTTCTCACTTGAGGTAACCCTCTATTTTTATAAATGAGGTCATGGATCGTTTAGCATCAAGTCCAATAGCAGTGAGAGGTTGTATCCTAACTCGAGAGAATGTATGGCAGTCTCTGGTCATTAGAAAAAAAAAATCTTCTCCAGTGCTGGGGATTAAATTCAGGGCCTCACACGTGGCCAGGTAAAGCACTCTACCAATTACATTTAATACAAACTAATCATTTTAACAAGTTTGTTACATGCTCATTTGTTCACTTAAATGGCTTCATCAGTTATGTCCTCCATCCCTAACAGTGCCACTGCTGTGGCATTCATATAACTAGGAAATACTGGAGTTTATCAAAAAGCAATAAAATACTCAGTACTTTAATGCTTACTCAATCTTGCTAAGTCAATTTATGGGGGGTATATGTTTATCTGCCATCTTTGAATGCAGCTGAGGCATTTTTCCCCTTAAAAATGCTTTTATCATTGTCTATAAAAGCATAGAAAGCATTTTTGTTTTTATTTCTCATGAGTTCTAAGAAGTGGTTGCAAGGATCAGCTGCCATTAACACTTGAGTTCACAGTGAAGGTGGTAATGGGTTCCTAATCTTCAATAAAGATCACAAATGTGGACAGTGCAGAGCAGGACTCATATAGCATCATATCTTATTTCAGGTAACATTAGGAGGTCTGAATTTGGAAAACGGTTTTACTCAGATTTATGTGCCAGAAAATAGCAATAAAACCCTCTGAATTAAGTATTGCAATGGTTTATTCATTTTTATATTGTGAGTCCAAAAGGTGCCAACACTTTTCTGAGTTTTAAGTGTGTAAAATTTTTGAATAGTTTTGGTGTAACCTGATTTCTAAAATTTAAAAATAAAAAAAAATCACATCCATTCTACATGCATCCATTCATTGTTTTTAATTGTATACTAGAGATAACTTAATAATTCCTGTTTCTTTAGATCCCCCATATTTGGTGAGAAGTATGGAATAATTAGCTTTATTCCCTATAATAAAAATGCATTATGTGCTGTAGCATATGCCAGAGCTTGTAATTTCTAATCAGGCAACAAAAAACTGAGTTGCTTTTGTTTTGTTTTGGTTCCTGGAGGTGGATATGACAGGCTGATAACAAAGGTGAAGACCCTGCTTCACCCAGTTTAGAGTCCTCATTTCTTTGGTGTCTCATGGAAACCTATTATCATGCCTTCCACATAAGTTTCTACATATAAAACTATTTGGGTATTGTGAATTTGCATTACAGTCACTTTGATAAAATTGCTATTTAATCTTCAAAGTGAAAAGTCCAGCTAATCAAAATGCAATTACTGTGGATTAAAGTAGGCCACTGGCTTAAGGATCAGGTAGAAAATCAACAGGTTATATTTTTCTGCTCAGTTTGTGCTAACACTGATGGTCTGTTTGAGGAATGCTGATAAAGCCAAGGGTAGGACTTTTGTACAGAGATTGGTACCCACCTCATAAGGGATCCAGGTTTCTTGTGTGATCTTGGCTGCATTAAGACCACTCTTGCCACGTGTTAATGGACACAAAGTTTTGATTGCATCACAGCAAAATAAAGGTGAAACACTATCACCAGAGTTACTCCAATCCATACTGAAGGCTTTTACCTGTAAATGCCTTTCCCAGTGGAGAAGCAAGAGATTTGAGTAATGATGGAGTAATCATGAAGACTGGTCTTCTCTACAAGAAGAGACACCTCATCACCCCTTGGGCCTGAGCAGTGGGCTGTCAGAGAATAACACAACACCTACATAGTCGCTGTCCACTTCCTGCCACTGCTGTTGGTGGGGTGACAGGAGCAAAGTAGGCATGGACTTTGACATGAGGGAGCTGAGCCTGGAAGTAGAAAAAGTGGAGTAGTCTTTACCCTGGTATTTTGGGATTATAACTACTTTTCCCTTAATATTATTAGAGAAATTATTTCTGCTCAGTGGCAGTAACTGGCCCTGTGGGCAAACTTGAGTGAAGGACCCTGGATTGGGCTGCTTTGCAGCGAAAAACGATATATGTGAATTATATGAAGTTGCCAAGACTATGTCCTGCCTCTTAATGATCTAAGTTGTTTTCCTTGGAAGGAGAGCCTCTTTTTATTGGTGATTGAACCCAGGTGAACTTTTACCACTGAACTACAACCCCTGTCCTTTTTTGAGATAGGGTCTTATCAAGTTGCCCAGGCTGTCCTAAAGCTTGGGATCTTTCCCAGCCTCCTGAGTTGCTAGGATTACAGGTTATGTGTCAGGATGCCTGGCCGATGGAGGTGCTATGAGGGTGCTGATCAGACTACATGGAACATCTCCCCCAGACCCACTCAAGTTAACTTCCAGAGTGGGATCTAAGCAATGGGATTTTGAAGCAGTCTAAGATGACTGGCAAATGAGTAAACCAGATAAGTTTGCATAACTATTGGCTTAGGATAGAATGGAGAAAGTGAATGTTGATTTGGGGAGGGAAACTGGAGCTTAAACTCAGGGGCACTCGACCACTGAGTCACATCCCCAGCCCTACTTTGTATTTTATTTAGAGACAGGTTCTCACTGATTTGCTTAGCGTCTCGCCATTGCTGAAGCTGGTTTTGAACTTGCAATCCTGTCTCAGTCTCCTCAGCTGCTGGGATTACAGGCGAGTGCCACTGTGCCCAGCTGGCTATTGATTTTTTAAAAAATGATGTTCAGTTTATTAATTGCTGAGATTCATCTCATCACTACATCTCATTAAAGACTATGATGGGTGAAGGGTGGGGCTGTAAACTGAACCCAGGGCCTTGTGTATGCTTGGTAAGCACTCTATCACTGAGCTACCTCCCCAGCGCTGGACATTGATTTTAATGTTTGATTCTGTTGCTCAGAAACGATGTCAGGTTGAGCCCACTCCCCAGCCCCAAGCCTACCCGCATCCGCTTGATGCCTGCTCGAGTGACCTGCTGGCAGTCATACAGCTCAAGGCGCTCCAGGCCACGGCAGTTTTCTAGATGTTCCAGAGCCACGTCAGTGATGAGAAGACAGTTGTCCAATTCTAGTACCCGCAGCCTCTCATGGCCACAGGTGCTGTTGCTCAGGTGCAGTATCCCATCATCCGTGATGAGCTCACAGTGAGAAAGGCTCTGGAACAGGAAGAAAAAATGTTCATAAAACCCTCTTATTTCAAGACTCAAGGCCTACGTAAAATCTGGGAAAATTGCTCATGAAATGTCCCAGAATAACTGCTAATGTGGCTTGATTATGTCCCCTAAAAAGCATGTGCTAGAAACTTTATCCCCAATGAAACTGTTGCGAGTAGGGCCTAATCAGAGGGGAGCTATTTAGGCCATGGGGGCTCCACCTCTACTGAGTGAATTGACAAAAAAAGATTTTGAAAGGGCTCAGGGCTGCAAAGTCTCTTCCTGCCCCACTTTTGTCCCCTGCTACAAGATGACACAACAAAAAGGCTCTACCAGATTCTAGAACTATGGGGAATAAATTTCAATTCATTCTAAGTACCCAGTCCATGATACTGTATAACAACAGCAGCACAATGCTTCATGAGGCATATGAGGCAGGGTCAAAGGAAATGTTGAGGCCCTTTGTTACAGGGCTTCAGGGTAAAATTTCAAAGTTTACTTCCTTGAGAGCAGTTTATCCAATTCTCCATTTGAGTGGAGGCAGGTAAACTTCATAAATGATTCTAATGTTCTTGTTCACTAGAAAATTGTGCAAACAACCATGACTCAGATGGGCATCTTTGAAGGTTGTGAACAAATGGAGTTTGAACAGTGTGATCTGGCTTTACTAGCCCCTTGGGCCACAGCTCAAGGTTGCAGAAGGTTACTCAGATTCATTTATATAGCTTAAAGTATCATTTCTGTAATTCTACAAAGGTCTCCTTACTGAGTTTCAGGGACCTGACAGTGTCCCCATGCTTATCAAATTTAATATTTAATTCAACATAAAAATTCTTCAGAAGAAAACAAAAAGTACTGCATTGTTTCCTATTGTTCATTTGTTCCTTCAAATACATGAGTTCCAACTGTGCCAGGCTGTGTGTATGCATTGTTGAAGCCCAGATTGGACAGTTGAAATGAAATCCACACTAAAGCTGAAGCTGAGGCAAGTGCTGGGAGTATATGACTGTGGGATTTGATCTAAGAGACCAGTGAGTTGCTATCTGAAATGCTCAAAAAGATGTCCAGTATCACTACATGCCTACTAGAAGGGCTAAAATAAAAATATTAAAAAAATAAGTGTTGGCAAGGATGTGGAGGAACTGGAGTTCCTGTGTTGCAATGGCAATTTGTATATTCTTAACTGAAATGCATGTTAAACAAAATCTGATAATATAGCAATACTGGTTATAATAGCCCCAAACTAGAAACCACTCAAATATTCAACAATAGAAAGGATAAGTAAATCACAATAGGCTCATTCTAGAAAGCAATGAGGATGAATAGCAGGGCACTGTGGCATCTTGACTTGGAAGACTGAGAGGAGAATCAAGTTCAAAGCCATCTCAGCAACTTAGTGTGGCCCTAAACAACTTAGCCAGACCCTGTCTCAAAAAAAGGGTTGGGGATATGGCTCAGTGGTCAAGCACCCCTGGGTTCAATACCCAGTACAAACACAAACACACACACACACACACACACACACACACACACGATACAATGAGTGAACTTCACAAATGTAATATTGAGTAATGAAACCAGACAAGAGTACACATGACTCCACTATGTAATTTCATTAGTAAAATACAAAAACAGGAAAAACTAATACATGCTGTTGGAAGTCACCACCTTTGGGAGATTTGTAACTGGAAGGGAGCAGAATGTAGAATGTGGCTTTCATGGATCATGGTAATGCTGATCATTAGTCTGGGTGTGTCCAGTTTATGGAATTGCATTAATCTACACATCAATGATAAGTGTACTTTTCTGTATATTTTACTTCAATAAAAAGTTAAAATTGAAAAAAATTAGCCACTCTGCCAAATTGTGTGGAAAGGTGGATACAATAGAGAGCAAGTGGGAGGCTATTACATTCTTGGAGGTAAGGAGATGCCCTGAAGTTTGGACCTGAATGAGTTGTGGTAGCAGGGGGGGAAGCTCTGCAAAATGGAAAGAGAACCAAGACATTGACACCGAATATAAGAAACAGGCAGGTGAGTCTAACTTAGAGGGAAGGGAAGCTAGGGGAGAAATTCTGTCAGACTTCGAACCTTGAACCTTGATTCCTTTGTGTGCTCTGTCTTAACCCTGTGGGGTATGTTTCCTTTCTCAAGAATCCAATCACACTACACAATTCTATACAAATCAATATATTTGTAATGAATATCTATGCAATCACTGGTTTTTGTCTTTTAGAACTGACTTATGGATAAAGCCAGAAGACTTCGCTAAAGTTTTTCAGGAGGCCACTTAAGATAGTCAAAATCCTTATTTTTTGATTTACCTACTTATAATAAATTGCAACTAGAAAAAACGTGTGTGTATATATATATATTACAGTTTGGAGAAAGAAGACAACTGAGGTAATGTATGGATACTAATTTCTTCATCGCTTTAATACAGAGAAGTTGAAGAACTAAGAAGTTAATATTAACATCTAGGACCATGGAGATACTCCTACATTAACTGAAAGACTAATGTACTGGCATATGCAAATATTCATATAAATTTAAAAAACTTGTTTAAGAAAAAAATCAAAGAAGCCCTTAACCTGTTCTCTGAGTCCAAAGGAAAATATGCTGCCAACATTGTTCACAGAGCAAATACACTGCTTATTTTACACAAACTAAGCAACCAATAGTCAAAACTATCTACTTTTGGGCCACCACTGTGTACGTATTATCTCAAATTATTCTTCAGGCTAAGTGTGCAAAGTGTTATTCCCATTTTACAGATAAAGATTTTGCAGCTCAAAGAAGTTGAGACTTGCCAATTACAGCCAGCTCAGGGTGGTCTTAAATTTTATCCTTGCCCTGCTGTCTCATCCCTGGCAGATGATAGAGGGGTTAGGCTGTTTTTATTAAGGGCAAACGGAATTATCTATTATTGCCCAGAGTTTCTTTAGAACATAAGTTGACCACAGAGGTTATCCCTGTGGAAGGAACATAGTAACTCGAGTTTTTAAATGGGAATGAGATTTTTCTCTTATATTCTTGGCATTTAAAAAAATTTTTTTTATTTTGAATTTTGTGATTCTTTTCTGCATTAGTTGATATGAGCATGTAATTTTTGTTCTTTAGCCTGTTAACATGGTGGATTATATGGATTAGTTTTCAAATGTTAAACTAGACTTGTATCCTTGAAATATTTCAACTCTGTTGGTCAAGTGTATAATTATTTTTAATCTATTGATGAGTTCTATTTACTAATATTTTGTGAGTTCTATTTGCTAATATTTTATTAAGATCATTTGCTCCTATATTTATGAAGAATACCAGTCTGTAGTTTTGGTTTTTGGTGCTGTTTTTGTTTGGTTTTAGTATCAGGGTATTACTGACCTTATGAGTTATGAAATGTTTTCCCATCTGTTTTGTAGAAGAGATTGTATGTAATTGATTTTAATTCCTTATGTTTGGAAGAATTCTCAAATAATCTGGGATGAACATTTCCTTTTTTTAATATTTATTTTTTAGTTGTAGTTGGACACAATACCTTTATTTATTTATTTTTATGTGGTGCTGAAGATCCAACTCAGGGACCCACACATGCTAGGCAAGCACTCTACTGCTGAGCCACAACCACAGCCCTGAACATTTACTTTTTGAGGGTTTTAAAATCAAATTTTATTTCTTCAGCAGTTACAGGGCTATTAAGATTACTTATATATACATCCCAGCCTTCTATTTTATATTGACTTTGTTTTGAATGTCCATTTTACCTACATTGTCAAATTTATACAGTTGTTCCTAGTACAGTTTGAGCATCCCTAACCTGAAATCGGAAATGCTCCAAAATCTGAAACATTTTGAGCATCAGCATGAGGCAATAAATGGAAAAATTCCATATCTGACCTCACATGAGACAGGTCACAGTAAAAAATGCAGGTACACTAAAAATTTTACCAGATCTATATTAAACAAAATGAATTTCTATTTAGATTTGAGACCTACCCCAAAAATATTTATTTTCTTACATATACACAGACATTCCAAAATTGGAAGAAATGTGAAATCCAAAACACTTTTGGTCCCAAGCATCTCAGATACTGGCTACTTTACCTGCATTCCCTTAATTTTCTTTGGATATCTGGAGATTTTGTGTGTGTGTGTGTGTGTGTGTGTGTGTGTGTGTGTGTGTATGTATTGTGTATATATATAGACACAATAATATGTAGATGGACACAATGCCTTTATTAATTTTTTTATGTGGCACTGAGGATCAGAACCTAATGCCTCATACATGCTAGGCAAGCACTCTATCACTGAGCTACAGTCCCAGCATTGTGTCTTCTTTTTATCAGTCTTGCTAAAGGCTGTTTTCCTTTCCAAAAGTTTTCTGTTTCATGGGTTTCACTCTGTAGTTTTTCTTTTTTCAACCTCACTGAATCCTACTATCATTTTTATTATATCCTTCATGTTTTGGTGGTGATTTTTTTCTTTCTTGATGGGGAAATTTAAAATTACTGATTTTATTTTTTAATTCAATTTTTAATTTTTTCCTTTATACATAATATTGAGGTTCATTTTGATAAAATTATATAAGCATGGAATGTAATTTGTTCCAATATCCTCTTTTTAAATGTAATCATTTAGTGCCATAAATCTCCCTCTTAGTACTGCTTTAGTTATACCACATTTTTTTTTTTTAATTTTAATTTGTGTGTGTGTGGTGCTGGGGATTGAACCCAGGGCCTTGTGCATGTGAGGCAAGCATTCTACCAACTGAGCTATATCCCCAGCCCCACAAATTTTAATGTGTTATATTTTCATGTTCATTCAGTTAAACTTATTTTTTAAAAATTTTTCCTTGAGACCTCCTCTTTGACCTAGGATTATTTAGAAAATGTTTTGTTTAGTTTCCAAATGTTCAGAAATCTTCCTGTTATCTGTTTTGATTACCATCTTTAGCATTTTCAAGGGTACAGTTCAGCTTTGTTCAGTATATTCAGATGATTGTGCAGTGGA